ATAATGGTTTTTTTTTTTTTTTTTTTTAGTGGAAGCTGGAAAAGACAACTGCTATACTCCTGTGAACCAGTATTCATTTTTAAATGGCCATTTTCCAGAAGGTGTAATTTTGATTTTACATATTTGAATTTCCTTAAGCACAACCTTAAAACTCATACGATACTCCATAGGATGCAAAACATTCTGGATTTAAATAAAAGTCTGAATACTAACTTTCAAATACTCCACGGCTGTGCTTAGGGTTACAGCTTGCAAGCAGGATGTTGACCACCAATATGGTGAGACTGTACAAGGACCACAACCTGATTTTTCCATCAACAAACTTTGAATTCAAAGACCTATGGCTACATTAGTGTAGTGAAGCAGCACAGGCAAGTCAGTCAGACATAAAAATACTAAAAACAGCACAAAGAAAAGCTGGCTTAGTTTAGGGAGCAAGCTGCAACCTGCACTTACTTCATTTTGTCATATTCCTGTGAGGTAGTAGTCACTCTTTCATCCCCAACGTAAACTTCACAAAAAGGCCGACAGCCATTGCGTTGCTTGCTGAATAGAGGTACTGGAGTCATGACGATTGATTTGATGAGGATCGGCTTACTGTGAGGAATAATGGGTTCTTCTGCCATCATGTCACACATGTACTCTATATATCTGCCAAAACAAGAATTATTTGTTCAGCAGAAAGCTAGAGCCTAAAAATGCAGAATGCAAAAAGCTTTTGTAACCATCAGCTCAATAGTAGGCTGGATGCTGGCATGATCTTATCACAGGGGCGGGCAATTATTTTGGGCAGAGGGCCGCTTACTGAGTTTCAGCAAGCCATCAAGGGCCACAAGTATCTGCAAGAGTTGCATGTATGGCCGAGCTACTCGCAATCTTCAGTGTATTTATCCCAGTGAGGCTGGAAAGTGCCATTACTTCCTTTTTCCAGATTGGAAATGGAGGCACACAAAGAAGGGATATAGAACTTGTAAGTTATAAAGTAATTGAGCCTAGGTCTCTAAAGCTGCAGGGGACAACTCAGATTCCTGGACTATTCTTACATTCATCCTGGTCAGGATCCACTGAACATAAGCAGTGGTGGGCTGTTAGGGAGTTAAGTTAACTAAACCACATCTAAATACATTTCTAAAAACAGTAGTATATAATTTTGTTCCTCTGCTATTTGCTAATCTGTACTCCCCTCCTCCCCCCCCTTTTTTTTTTCTTCCTTTTCAAGATCTAGTGTCTGGACTAAACCAAAGAAAAATAGGGCTAAAAGGAACTCTGGATGTCAACTAATCCAATTGGGGGGGTGGGGGGGCAGCAACTCTTTTTGCAGGCATGCCACAAAATACCATCCTCCCACCCAATCTGTTTTCTTTCTGTTTACTGTCCTATCTGCTGCTGTGCTGTCTTTTCCCATTCCCCCCCCCATCTGCCATGTGCCACACAGAGTTGCCCATGCCACCTGTGGCACATGTGCTGCAGGTTGGCCACTCCTCATCTAGTTTAGGCAGCATCATCCCTATCCAAACAAGAAACTATTGCAGTCACACAACTACAAGAGATATTGCCCAAAGATACCAAAAGCGCACTAACTCATGACAGGTAAAAGCACAGGGACAAGGGTGGTCACTGTGCTGCTCAGTGGCATTGCACAGGTGGTGCAAAGAGGTGCACGTGCACCCCTTGAGAACACCAGTGCACCCCCTAACAGGCTGCACTCCCCACTCAGGCAGCAGGCAGGGGAGCAGGTGGGAGCACCAGTACTCCACTGCAAGCACCGGCCAAGGAGTGGGAGTGCCATAGCCAGTTCTCAGCCAGCACAGGGACCTCCCTGCCTTCAGCTGATTGGCCATAGGGGGAACCCCACCCAGTTGCTAACTGGTTGCTTGGGGGGGAGGGGGAGGCGCACATGCCCCTGATTAAGACAGCACCCGTTGCAAGAATTATTAAAATGTGTTCAAGAGATCCACAGAAGAGGGCAATGCCCCCTGCTACAGAGCAAGGCAAACCCCTACCTCCACAGTCCATACCAATCTGTGGGGTAAAATTGTCTTCTGATCCCAAGTGTGGCAATCAGGCTAACCCTAAGCAGAGGCATGATCCTCTGATTAAGAACCTCAGGGATTTATTCCCAACAGGAGCATTGGCAAACCCCAGTCAAAATCTGCAGCATTGGCTGCAGCCAACACCCAACGCTTCAGAGAAGGTGGGGGGAAAAAAACCCCTCACATGTAGCAGCTGGGAGGAGGGAAAACAAATTCCTTCTCTGCCCATGCAGCAATGAGCAAAAAACTATTAGTAGATGCTATACTGGGATCTCATTACTGAAATGTTTTTACCGTTACAAAAACTAGTACAGTGCACCAAATTTACTCTGTTACCAAACTAAATAAGGCTCATTTTAATGCACTAGGTTTGCTCTTTTCAAAAAAAGTAGGACATACCTTACTACATAAGCTGAAGTTGTAGGTAAATTGTTGCATCTTACACTTTTTTTCTGAGACTTTAATGAAGACGGGGTAGGTGAAGGGTTAAAAAACTAGAACTAAAATTGTAATCTAGCCATCAAATGTGTTTACACAACACTGATTACATTTGATTTGCCTGGTAAATAAAAAACAAGTGCGACAATTAAAACATTACACAATTCAAAGCTATGCAGCCCTACAGGTGATGCCGTTTGGTTTTGTAAGTGTTATGCAGTCCTACCAGGTCAATTCTTAAATCTACCTCCCTACAAGTATCCTGCAAAAATAGGGTTAAGCATATTCATTTCTGAAAGATTTGCTTTAACAGTGCTTTGAAAACCAATTCATACAGTACCTTTTGTGAGAAGGCCAAATGCCAGGTGGACAGCGTTTCATACTGAACATATAAACTGCAGCCTCAGCAGTAGTGAAGAGATGACAGAAGCACAGGAAAGAACAAACTACGACAGCAGAAGCTGCTCTTCCATCCTACAAAAAAGGACAGCTTAATGTTATTAAACCTGGTTTAAATAAACAAAAAGGCAGGAGTTACTCTACGTTACTGTTTCCACAACCAAAAAAAGAAGGCACATGTGGTTATTAGATGACTACTAGACTTGTTAGAATTAAAGCTGATAACAAAAGCACAGAACAGACAGGGAAAAGAAAATTAGCTTCCTGCTTGGATGTTAGAAATTAATAGTAATTACTTTAGTTTTACGCAGTATTTCATGGACAGAATTCTTAGCATCATGACCCTTGTGCTTTAATCACATTTTCTAGTTATGTGGAAGATACATTTGAGACAGTCCTTAGGCTGGCAAGCTACTATGAGAGTAAACCGTAAGATGCCCAGAAGCAACTGGAAGAGCCATAAGAGTAGACATCAGCTGCAATCCCTTCTAACAAGAACATGCTTCCTTCCTTGATACTTTTTATTAAAAAAAAATCAGTGCATGAACGCAATATCATATATAGGCATTTGAAAAGCACTTTGAAATTTTTATTAGTACTGTTCCAACTTTACTTCATACTTCAGTGAGGGTGTAGTAAAGTAGTACTAAAGAGACAGGGACAAGAAGTAATGTGGCACTTTCTGAATTTCAGTGCTACCTATGGGGTCCCACATGTAGCAGCTCATGTTCATCTCATTATATGAACATATGCTTATATGAGCATATGCATCACCTGTTAGGACTGCATCTATAACCTGTGCCTCCTTATACTTCCATGTGAAGGCAGAAGGGTACGGCAGTTGCGATTGTCCTTTGGTTCCTTTGCAATGCAGAACAGGGACTAGTAAAAACACCACAAAAATGTGACTGGAGAATAGATTATGCAATTCAGTGACTCCAATATCTCCCCAGTTCCTGTTGGGGAAGAGCAATCATACTCTCTGCCAAATACATCAGAGTAGAGATCACAGGTGGTAAATGACATGCAATAGCTTCTTTGGACAGTGGGACTGAGGAGTTTTAACTGTTTCAAGTGAGTACCACTTGAAGTACTGCTCTCTTAGGCTTGCCATCTGACCTAAATGCTAGGTCAATCTGCAACATTTAACCAAAGTCTGTGACTGGTCTGCTCCATGCTGGTTTAAAGAGTAAGAGACTGGAACATTCCTGAGCCAGCCAGAAGACACCACCTGTACTATGACAGAATGTGCCTGGACAACTGGAGGAAGAGGCTTGCAGTGATATGATGGCAGGTAGAATTTTATGTAGTTTTCCATTTCAAGCGTCTCATATGAGGTGGCTTGGCCTGTTGAAGAAGCAGATATAGAACACTCAGGATAAATCCAAAGCAGGCTGCATTTCACACTGAGAAATACAACCTTGGAAAGAAGGCCGGTACGGCAACACCAGCATAGGGTGGAATTCTGAGATTCCTAGGGATGAGCTTTGAGTGTGTTTATAATACTGCCTAGGAAAAGGAGGGATATGACAACCCCAGCCACATAAGTTTGAGGCTCAGTGAGAGTTGCAATAATGGGTGCAGTAAGTACTGCTTTGATAGTAAGGTTAGATATTGAGAGCATCAAGTGAGTGATTCAACAAAAAAATTGAGAAAGTCAATATAGAGGTCCCACATGGCAGACCGTTCTGATCAGAGCATGGGTATGAAAGAGATCCCTGGGGAATGTGTTACTGATACTGTTAGATAAGATTTTAAAAATTAGAAGCATCATATGCCAATATTTCATGATGAATCTTGAGAGTTAAAAACACTAGCCCAACATGTTCCAGGAGCAGCACGTTGTTGCGATTCTTTGGTACCTTGGACTCTGCTGGGTGTCTATTGTTTTGAACTGCTGGCGCAATTGTATCCATTCTGAAGAATAACATTTTCCTGGTAGAAAGAAAATGATTGTAATGATACAATCATTATCTATTAAGATTGTATCTACAGCTTGTGCCTCCATATACTCCATTATGTGAACATAAGGGTAGGGCAACTGTAATTGTCCTTCAGTTCCTTTGCAATACAAGACAAGGTTGCTAAAACACTGAACAGTAAGGTCCATGAATGCTCAGGTCTCTCAGTTTATAAGGGAATGTCTTACACTCATTAGGGAGAATCTTAGTCACTAGCCAACATCTATATGTCAGCTGAAGGGGTAAATAAAATGACCTTCATTTCCAGATATACCTGAATGGATAAGGAAGTATACGATAGCACATAGTCATTTTCAATAGGTCTAAGTGAAAAATGTGTCATCTAATAAGAGGTGACCAGAGTCATTGCTATGTTGCCCTACCCTATCATTGATGTCCTCCCTATGATCTGAACTCGGATTATCTTGGTATTGCATACCTTCCTGAAATCTACAGAAGGTTCAGATAAGCCTCTCAGTCTAAAGCATCTGTAGAAAATGTCATAATTGGAAAAGGGACAAAAACTATCCCCACACACCCACTTCGCTCATACATTTAGTGGGTCTGACCACCAAGTTAGCTCTTGCAGGTCTTGAGGTCTCTTGATTACGTGATGTCTGGACAAGGAGCACAAAGACCTCAGACACATTTTTAAGAGCTCCAGGTAAGGCTGGCAATGTTGACATATGGCCTAAAAATTCCAGATACATTTGTACAGTCATGAGTAATTTGATCTTAAGCAGTTTATCAGTAACTAAGAGAGACTGGAAACCACCTTCTGGCAGATGTTCTTGGCAACAGAAGGCAATCATGGCTCCTTTGTACTCTGATGCCAAGAGAATTTTCACTGCATTCTCTCAACTAGGTTGCCTTATGAGTAAAGAGGTAGATGGACTGTTTCAGTCTCTGGATGGAACCCTGCCTCTGATCAGCCAGTCACCAAAATACAGGTAGGCAGGGATTTCAGTCACCTTGCCTCTGGAGTCAGATGCACAGGTGGAAGCCCACTGTGCCCCCGTGAGCCCCAGGACCCCTAACAGCAGACCCCCAACAATCCCCAGCCTAGCAGGGCTCATGGTGGCAGGGACCTAGCACAGCTGCGGGGAGGCAGTTGAGAGGAGTCAGGAGGGTCTCCCCCCCCCCCAGCTCCTACTTTGCCCAGCCCCCCAGGGAGCCACGTGACCGGAGCCTCATGAACAAAACACGCAAACTGGTGTGCTTCTAGGCCCAGTGCACAAGTTAGCATGGGAGTTTGCATGAGAGTGTGAGCAGGAGAGGCACAAGGCCCTAGGCAGTGAGCCTCAAGGGGGTAGTTGGCACAATAGTAGCCAAACTACTACTGGTGCAATGGTGGGTGGGACACGTTGCACCCAGAGTTTCCCCCCTGCAGCTGGATCCCTCCTCTCTGGTACTTCTGGGGCCTTCACCCAGATGGAACCCATGGTTCTGGCCTTCATGCAGACAGAGCCCCTGGCAAGAGTCCAGGCAGAGAACATAGTATCCTGGAAGTGAACACATGACCTAGATGGTGGTGTCTAGGTGAAGGCTTCAGCTTCTTTGACAACAGGCGGATGTTCTTAGGATGAGGACTGCCATCAAGAGATGGGATCCATTTGATGAGACGAGGGAAGAGCATCTTTAGGCATCATCTGGCCAACCTAGTAAGGGGGGCTTTAAACTAGATTCTGTGGGGGACAGCAATCAAAACTCTCCAGCAACAGAGTATGCAGTCCAGAGGGTAAAGGACTCAAAGAAGCAACTCAACTCTGGGAAAGGGCAAGAGAGCTACAGGACTGCACCATGTCACACAAAAGGGATGCAAGCTCAAAACACTTCCAATGTATGCATACAGATGTGAAAAGTTTGGCAAATAAACAAGAGGTGCTGGAAGCTGCAGCCTGTGAAAAGAATTATGATCTGGCTGGTACTGCCAAGACCTGGTGGAATAGTTCATGCGACTGGAATGTCAACATGGAGGGCCACACTGTTTCAGAAGGACAGCGTTGAGAGAACAAGGTGGCGGTGTTGCTTTGTATATCAAAACACACACACCTGTTCCCTAGTTCAGGATGAAGATGACATCAGAGTAGAAAGGAAGATGCACTTGGGTAAAGATGAAAGGTGAAAGATGCAACGCTAGAGGTACACTGATATAAAAAAAAAAAAAAATTGGTCCATATCAAATCGGCACCGATAAAAGGAAAATTGGACGCCATCAGCAATCGGCTTTTTTTGGCCAGTGTAGCCAACTGTCACCAATAAATGCCATGTGTATGAGTGCAGCCACAGCATGCAAGCAGCCAGGAATGCAGCCTGGCAGCTTGGAAAGTCTGTGGGGGAAGGAAGGGGTGGGCTCAGGGCCAGGGGCTGCACCAGCCTCTTCCTGGCAGGACGGCTGGGCTGGGGCTGCACTCGAAGGTGATGGGGGCATGGCAATGCTGGGAGGGAAGGGCCATGGGATGGATAGCCCCTGGCCCCAAGTCTGCAGCAGGCAGCCTGCTCTCACCCTGCTCACAAATCCCAGTTGGGCAGCACCTGCCCCAATTCCCTCCCTCACTGTGGAGGCCTCAATCTGCCCCCATGCCCCACCCCACAACAGACTTACCGGCCAGATGCTGGTCTCCACACTGCCGGGCTGCATATCAGCTATTGGATCAGTATTGGCAGATATAGCTGGTTGATGTCACCAACTTTTTTTTTTTTTTCCTTCAAATCAGTGCACCCCTACTCAGCACCAATACAAAATGGTGGGTAATTATTTATTTATTTATTTATTTTATTTTATTTTTTTATTATACCCTACCAAATCAGGAAGAGGAGGTGGATGAAGCACTCTTTGAGCAGGTAACAAATCTACCCAAAAGCTATGGAATAGCACTGCCAGTTTTCTGGACATCTGCTGAAAAACAATGCAGCCGAACAAAACATCAAGCCATTTCCTAACCAATATGGAGGACAACTTTTTGTTTCAGAAAGTGGAGGATACAACTAGGGAACTATCTATCTTGGCTCTTGTCCAGACCAACAGGGAAGAACTGCTGGAGGATATGAAGATGATAGGTAACTATGGTGGAAGCAACTGCAATATGACAGAATACCAGATCCTGAGACAGAGAAAGTATGAGGTCAGCAAAATTGTGAGTCTTCAAAAAGTCGGATTTGATCGAACTCAAGGAGTTCATAGGCATGGTGTCGTGAGAGGATACACTGAAAGATAAAAAGGTGTCCATGACGGCTGGGAGCTTCTGAAGGGCACAGTATTGGAAGCCCAACAAGAAACTGTTCTGACACAATGGAAGCACAAGAAGAATGGCAAGAGACCACTGTAGCTGCATTAGGAGCATCTAAAATGCCTCAAATGCAAAAAGCATACAGGCAATGGAAGAAAGGGCAGGTCATCAAGGAAGCATACCAGGAAATAGCAAGAGTCTGTGGGGACAAAAATCAGGAAGGCAAAGATAAACAACAAGCTACACCAAGCAAAGGAAGTCAAGGACAAGAAGAGGTTCTAGAAGTATGCTGGCCAAAAAAGAAGGACCAATGAAGCTGTTGTTCTCTGTTAACAAGCCACAGGGAACTCCTAAGTGAAGGCGGATCTACTCAACAGCTACTTTGTCTCAGTCTTCACAAAAAAATTAAATTTCAGTCAAACACTTAATACAGATTATCTGGCTATAGAAGGGGGGAAAGCTGAGGGAGGAGATAACAAAAGAGATAATCAGAGTTTTTGCTGGGTCTGAATTAATTTAAGTCAGCAGGGCCAGGTGAACTTCATTCCAGGGTCCTGAACGAACTGGCAGAGGAGATCTTGGAGCCTGTGGCAGTCACCTTCATGAAGTTGTAGGAAACAGGCCAGACAGGTACCAGAGGACCGGAAAAGGGCCAATGTAGTGCTCCACTGTAAAAAGAAGAAAAGGCAAAAAGGAGGACGCAGGGATCTACAGACCAGTAAACCTCACATGAATACCTAGGATATGTTTCAGTAACTTCCTAAAGAAGGCCATTTGCAAGCATCTGGAGGAGGAAAGGTTGATCACAAACAATGAGTATGAATTTACTAGGAACAAATGTCAAACTTGATTTTCTTTGACAAAGAAACTACTTGGGTGGTTGAAGGGAATGCCGTGGATATAATGCATCTGAATTTTAGTAAAGCTTTTGACAAGGTCCCACACAACCTTCTCACAAGCCAACTGCAGAAATATGGACTAGACTAAAACTACAAGGTTTTAGTGAAGAGACAACTGGCTCAAGAACCACAAGCAAAGGGTAATTATTAATGGGTTCGTGTTAGAAAGGAAGGTGGCTTCAAGGGAAGTCCCACAAGAGTCCATCTTGGGCCTGGTGCTGTTCAACATGTTTATTAATGATTTGGATACCGGTATAAAAAGCTTCTTGAGTAAGTTTTCAGATGACAAAACTGGAAAGGATTGCAAACATGTTGGAGGATGCAAGCACAAATTCAGAAGGATCTCAACATATTGAAAGTTGGGCTAGAGCTAACCAGATGAAGTTCAATGTAGACAAGTGCAAGGTGCTACACTCCAGGAGGAATAATCAAAAACAAATAAAAATAAATGACACCTGGCTGAATGAAAGCACTATGAAAAAAGAACTTGGGAGTCTTGGTAGGCCAAAGACTTAATACAAGTTTGCAGTGTGAGGTAGCCACACAAAAAGGTGAATGTCATTTTGGGATACACCAACAAAAGCATTAGGTACAAGACATGGGAGATGATGGTACCTCTACTTGGCATTGGATAGATTCTATTTGGAGTACTGTGTGCAGTTCTGGGATCCACATTTAAAAAAGGACATGGAGAAGTTAGAGAGGGTCCAGAGGCAGGTAACAAAGATGATAAAGGGCTTGGAGGCAAGCTATATGAGGAAAGGCTAAAGGAGCTAGCCATGTTCAGCTTGTGAAAAAGTCACTTAAGAGGAGACATCATAGCTGTCTTCAACTACTTAAAGGGCTGCCATAAAAAGAGGGAAAGCACTTTCTCTCTTGCTCCACAGAGAAGGATGAGGACCAATGGCTTGAAGTTGCAGTAAAATAAGTTTAGACTGGACATCTGGAAAAACTTCTTCACTGTTAGAACAGAGAGGCAGTAGAATAGACTGCCTAAAGAAGCTGTGGACTAGAGTCACTTGGGGTTTTCAAGAAGAGGCTGGACAGGCATTAGTTGGGGATGATCCAGGCATAGCTATGCCTATATTCTACTATGGGTATGCTTCTGGACTTGGCTAGTTGGGCCCCCTTCACCCCTTATCTGGTATATGCATCAAGCCTAAGGAAGGCTTGAAAAAACACCTTCCTTCCATCTGATGTTGGCTACAGCCAAGGCTGGGAACTTTGACAAGGGTGTGCCAATGCTCCTGCTGGGACCAAACTGGGAAGTTCCTGACTAGAGGGTCTTGCCTTCCCACTCAGGGTCAGACCAAATCACCGTATTTGGGGTAAGGAAGGAATTTTACCTGCTGGTCAGATTGGTATGGCCTGTAGCGGTTTTTGCCTTCCTCTGTAGTGACGGTCATGACCCTCTACCTGGGACCTCTTGAGCACATATTGACAACATTTCACAGAAGCAGGATATTGACTGCCGTGGTTCCCCTGCTTTGCCTGTGGCAGGTTATGATGTTAGGTCTGTGTTAAGTTAGGATTGATGGTAGCCTTATGTAGAGGTTGGATTACATTTTGTATAGGAAGGTTTAGATAGCAATGATCTTGCCTCAGGCAGAGGGTTGGACTATATGACCTCTGGAGATCCCTTCCAGCCCAACTTCACTATGATTCTATGACTGAAAATTGAGCTTGCCAACGTCTACAGGAATTTCTTATCAGGTAGATTATAATATAGTGCTGCTATCTATCTAACACCATCTAACACTATCTAAATATTTAGACACAATGATACTCAGATGTGTCACACTGAGATAGATTTGAACATTTTATTCTCTAGTGAAGGCCTGCCAACAGTAAACAGAATAGCTGAGTTTTGGCAGGGCTTTAGGGAGACATTTAGTTTTTAAGCAACTCACTGAACATTAAACGTTGGCATTACCTGACCTGCTAGGAGCTATGCAAATCAAGCCCCTTATATGCCTATAATTTGGAGCTAGATGTGTAGCAAGCAAAGAAATTAACAGAAGTGCAAGAAAGCAGTGCCTATCACACAAGTGCCAAACTACCTTGATTCCTCCTGTTACTGTTTCATCTGCTATCTGCAGAGGGAGTTAAAAGGGTTTCTAAGTTATCTTTGTGACTGACTTCATAGCAAATTGGTGCATGTTAACACCATTTAAACACGTAGTACTTTCTCTAAAGAATTTATACTACCACCAAAACTTAAATATAGAGAAGTTTGTTACTTGTATACATGTGAACTGAACTGATATGGCTGGGCTCAGACAGATAAAATAGGTCAGGTGTAATAGTTACTTACAAGGCAGTGCACAATGCAAACATTTTTCTGGTCTTGCTTCAGCCATAAATGCATGTTCTTGCAAATGCTATAAAGGTTTTGAAGATTTGGAGCACGTCTCGCTGGCCAACCGCATTCAGAAACCTGGAGGATGGGGTAAGAGGTGAGTAGAGTGACTACAGCCACACCACATAAACAGACATGTTTATACTTTAATACTAAATTTAAGAACAAATTAAGAGAAGAAAGCTTAATAAGCAGGGTATCAAACAAGATCTCTATTTAAATATATCCTCCACAGCATCCAGCAAAATGAGTCTTCCATGCTAAGCATGGTCTCTGGACACTACTGAAATAAAAATAGCTACAACATGCAAAGCTAACAGAGTATTTATTACTACTGAAGCAGTCAACATTAGTTAATGATGCAAAACTGCTTCCCCTGATAGGCTGAAAAAAAGATTGGTTTAAACAAAATTAAAAATTCCTCAGCAATTTTCACATGAACAAAGGAGAAAACCATACACTGGTAAAAAAAAATAAATTTTACACAATGCTTTTAAATAGGGTTCAAAATATGACAACAGTTGGCACTGACAAATGCTTTTATAGGAATGGATGCCTTGTCAGCTTCAGGGAACAATTTAAATCAGTGACCATGCTTAGTGCCTCCTGACAGGACTTGCGCAAAGTAGGTTGCAGGTATGGACAGATCAATGAATTGCACTGAGTTAAGAGGATAACTTAAAAGGTATTAGCTATTCCACAGTATCTATTCCATGGGTCTGCTCCTATCCCAAGACAAGTGAAAGCTGGGCAGCTTCCCCAGATTAGTTTCCACTAACTGCAGAATAGGAGTAAAAATACAAAGCAGTTGGGGTGGTACAGCTGACAAAGGTAAAATAACCCCCTGTCCCCTGCTGGTATAAATCAGTATAATCTGCTCATCTAACCTCAATTTTTTCCCCAGGCTGAAATGTATAAAAAGATTGCTTCTGGGAAAAGCTAAGGTTTTAACATCAAATTAGCTATTCCTCAAGAAACTGTCAGAGTCAGAAAAAAAAAGTGGCAGATGTAAGAGAGAATTAAATCTCCCCCTCCCCACGTTTTTGTTGCATTATATAGTATTCTGTCATTTCCATGCTTTCATTTTGAAAAAGTAAAATTTTCCCATTGGAAAAATGAAACCAGCAAAACTGATCAATACACTCCTAACCATGTGAAATAAGCCTAAAATAATGTTCCATATTAACCAACTGTAGCAAAGAAATGCCACCCCTTCTTTCCACTAGATTAAATAGAGCAGTGCTTCTCAGCTGAGATGCCACAGCACCCCAGAATGCCGCAACATGAGCATTACCACCACAACCAGGTTAAATTGCCCCACGTGCCTACTGCACAGCCACAACAGGAAGGACTGTGGCAACCATGTGCTCTTCTGCCTCATTAGGGATCTGATAAGCCTAAAGTAGGGAAAAGGGCCAGCTTGTAAAGTAGCCCTTCCCTGTCCAGCCTCTCCACACTCCTGAAATATGCAGGACAGTTCCACTTATCCCACTGGCCTCTGTTTCCAGGAGATGCTGTGCAAAGTTGGACCAGGAAAAGCTACAGAATGGGCTGGCTTTCCTGCCTGCTTCAACCTTAAAGAATACTAATGAGGCAGAACAGCATTGTGTGCTGCAGCCCTTCCCAGGTTGTTTGTGCAGGAGCAGTACAAACAGTTTTATCAGGTAACAGTGGCAATGGCACCTGGTTGAGAACCACTGTAGCAAACTGAGGTACCACAACAGTGCTTCTCAACCAGGGATGCCACCAAATTCAAACAAGTTGAGGAGGGGTGCCCCAACTCTAACAACATTGAGAACCACTGAAAGATTGTAGGCAAGGTATAGAAAAAGATTGAATCATTTGAGTCTTAACGTTAAAACAGCAAAAAATTCCTAATGCTACTTCATGGACACAAACTGAAAAGCAAAAAAAAAAAAGGTCTTAGCTCCTGAACTAATGCTGATTTAACCATATAGCATCTCTCTGGTTATTTTATTCTAGCTTTCTTACTTTAAAGTAGAATGAATTTTGCCACAAAAACAAATGCTATACAAGACAGGCTTTTGTTCTCTATCAGTGCATTCATTTTCTTGAAATGTACTTAACTACTAGTGAGGGATTGTTACTGGAGGAATCCACAAAACTGCTCAACAGAAGCAGCTCTGCTGCCTTAGGCAGGTTTTGGGCACCCAAAAGCTATGTAGGAGTGGAATTAAGAAAAGCCTAGAGAGAATTCCAAAAACTTTACATTTTTACCTACTATGAACAAACAAAGTTCACAGAAAATTCTATATTGGTGAAAGGAATATACAGCAAAAAAAATTTAGAGCAAGTTAGAGAAAGGATAACCTGCAAGATCTAAAATATTCACAATGATGCATCCATTTAGCAAGGACTAGAAAGTAGATCAAAGTTGTAAATATTCACCTCAGATGTTGAGGGTGTCTGACCACTTTACAGGGGCTTAGATTAGCATACATTTTATGGCACGAGATGATGGAGAAGTCTTGAATTTTCTTCACTTCCACTCAGTAGGATACCCTACATTTAGAAGTTACCCTTTTCTTGCGTCTACTATTCTAAATTAAATATGGAGTCCAAGCTGTAGAATGACTTTTATGGAGACACACATTTTGTCGTCTTTATACCCACAGGATTAAGAAACAGCTTTTGAGCACCTGGGTTTTACAGGTGGAAAAAGGGGAAGTTTCCTAGAAAAACGAGATGAAAATAAATTCTATTTCAGTTTAACTGGGGACTCAAAAAAGCTCTAGTCCTTAAAGGCAACCTAAACAAAAAAAATGAAGTTGCGCAATGTTTTTTTGACAAGTTGAGATCCATTGATCCCTTCTGGCTACACAGGAAAAAAGACTTGGGCCAGGATTAAATGAATGATGCTAACTGACAAGCTAAATAAACAATAAGGCCTGAAAAACTTGAGCCTGTTGGAGGATTGGCAGTTACTCCAGTAATTTTCCCTTGTCAAGTAAGTTAGAGACATCACTGCAGGAGTGCTATATACGAGGGAAATATAGTCAATAAACTGGACATCTTCAGAGTAAAGTTGAGTTTTCTGTCCAAGGAATAAGGTTTCTTAATGTGAGACAAATTTGGAGAACATGGATACAGGAGTAAATTATTTTAGAAAAAGAGCAATGCATTGGGAAGACTTCTTTAAAAATTCAGTGCATTTTTTTCCTGTTCCAAAGGATCTGTGGGTCTCCACTGAAATTTAGGTAAGCCTAGGGTCTTAGCTTAACTGTTTCTGGGGTCCACAGTCTCAAGGGCTGATAAATCTTTAAAAGTTTAAATCAGATTTAGGCAAGTAAGACAAGAATTTATCCTATCTGAATTCCATTCCATTAGTTTGCACTTGGAGGAGGAAAAAATTTTTAGGTCCAATATTTTCCCTACTCCTGCTGCTTGAAGGAGACTTATGAAAAGAAAGGGTAAGAATACACTGTAAACTGAACTGTGCCAAAACACAGGAATATTATTTTTAAAATTTGGTTTTGAAGGGATGATAATGGACAGCTTACAACACACAGGTTGAGAGACAAAAAAGGGACACACTGAGTCCTGGCTTTATAAAGATCTAACTGAGGTCCAATGGGGATGGTGCAAGTACATCTTCAGACACCACCAAGATGTTTCCATTAGAAAGCTGAGATTTGAAAGCCTGAGACTCCAGTGTGCTGTCAGTCATGATTTCTGGTTGTAAGACTGCACCGAAGGAAAGGAGTCAAAGAGATATTTGTACTTAAGGACCTGCCAGATAGCCATCTTTGCTTACCTACAAACAAGGATGTGCGCCATGTCCCTGCTTTTATACACTGCTCATTTCAGGCAACAGTAAGGAGTGGACATGCCTAGGCAACTCACTAAGTGCAGCTGGCTCAGAGAGGAGACAGAAAAAAAAAAAAGGGAGATAAAAAGGGAGAAAAGAAGGCCAGTAAGTGAAGCCCTCCCAAATAATGCAAAGCAGGGAAAGACCTCTGGACGCACAGAAAACATAGCTGTTCCAGTAACACGTTTCCTAGGTAGGGAGGTGCTGAATGCCTGGGTCTTTCTTCAGCAAAGCTACCACTCCAGAAAGCAATGCCATCTTTCCCTTTCATCCAAATCGGTGGCAAAATATACTAGAATTAATATTGGTAATGGACCTTACCTTTGAAATGGCCCATTTGTGATTTGAGCTGTACATCTTAACTGAATAAAAATGTTGGCATCTAACAAAAGATGCGCTAGGTCTACTCAGTCCTACTACAGGAAAATAAATCAATAAAAGACAAATACATACACACCCTATTATGAAATCTTGAAGACCTGTATGTTCTTGGAGATACATTGTAAACAGCATAGTGTCCAGGGTGTTTAGAGTCTAAAAATAATCGCACATCTTCTATGTTATTTTTGATGGCAGATTCTACACCTTCTGCTGGAAAGGACATCACTGAAAACAGAACATTGCCATTTGAGGTATTAACTTTTATGAAAATATAATTAAAATCATGATTTTAAAAAGATGCAACTAACCATACCAGCAATTCTGGAAGTGATAAACGATATATCCAAATCTCCCTTTGCATAACTGAAATAAAACACATGTCTGAGTTAATATATAAAAATGATTTTATTCAAAGGTAAATAGAAATATGTAAATAAACAGTTTATTCAAGTAACAGGCTACTATGGAGATCTTTTTCCTGCTAGGAAATCATAAGAAATACTCAGCTTATCAGAGTGATAGCAAAATAGTTCAAGACCCTATATATTTAAACTAAGAGAACGACAGATGTTGTGGAATGAGATTAGACTTTCAAAATAGCAATTCATTGCAAAAAGATCTTTCTTGTGTGCAAGTGCAAGGGCTGTGAAAAACATTAACCAAAGGAGTTAGGACATACAGCTGAACTTTCTCATCCACCTTTACTAGAATTTCCAGCTATTCAGACCTTTGAATAGCAACCTATACGAGTTGAGCTATGTCTATAGCTTTGATTACAAGCATACCATAAGCTTCACCATATTTATCTTCACACTTTGAGAAAGGGAAGTATTTCTGTGCCTATTTTTGCAATGGGGAACTGACCCACAAAGACCAATGGCCAGATTCACTTAGGCATTGCCATGTAGGCATTTCATTCCTAAGCTTTCAGCCCACTGCCTCAGGAGGGTAACCTAAAGAGACAGGTTTACATGTCTATACTGTGAATATGTGTGTCCTGGTCAAGCCATAGTACATGTGTACTAAACATGAACACACCTACAGGTAGTTGTTATCTGGAAATGCAAGGTACAGGGGTGTGTCTAAGCTTCCCGTTCCTCATCCTCAGAGCTAAAGCATCTGACAAGGCTGCATGTTAGATGAGTCTGTCATCCCTGAGTCAGCAGCCAGCTGGAGTCTTCTACCTGAATCAAGATGCTCAAGTGACAGCAACACTGAGTTCAGTGTGAAGCACAGGACACATCATTCACTTTGAATGACAAATGTTGCCAACCACTTTTGCCAAGTAGCCTAGGTTAGAGCTTGGACCCAGGATGCAGAAGACCTGCATTCTGGACTTTCCTCAAGTCAGAAGGAACCCGTGCTCACATCTCCTATTTCCCAGGAAAGTGTCCTGACCATGCTGGGCTCTCCCAACTCCTGGATGGGAATTAAACACACCCAGGCTGTTAACCAACTAAACAAAAAGGTGGGCACCACCATGGGTGGCTGTAATGAATTGTCTTCATGCCATCTGAAAGGCACTGGATGCACTATGCAGTGGCCTAAGACTGTATGAATCCTTGGTTCCTTTCAGGTCTCCCAGAGCCAAATCTGGATCATAACAGAGTTCAGGCAGAAGTTTGGCTCCAAGGGGAAAGCATAAGCTGAAATGCCAATGCCTCTTTGTTGACTGAAGCTGAGGCATCTAACAAATCCAGGCATCTAATCAGTTTTCCAGCTGCTCAAGTGGCACCATCTAGGGTGCACCTAAATTCCATTTAGATCCTGTTTAGGTGCGTACAAAGCTGATTTAAATTTAAAGCTTAAAGTCAACACTGTCCTTCCTTCTCCTGGCCTTTCCAGAGCCCCAAAATCCAGCTGCACTCAGGTCCTCTCTGCTGTTCACTCCTTTCTTGTAGGCTCTACAATGGTTCAGTCAAAGCTACTTCATTTCCTTCCACTCTTGCTCTCCTTTGGGTCACTAACTCATAACACCACAAACTTGGGTTCCTCTCTCCAAACAGCTCCCTTTCTGTTCCTGCACCACTGAATGCCTCTAGACCAAATCTGAAGACTACAAACTAACTTGGACAACTGTAACACCCACTCCTCCTATTCTGCCACTGTCCTTTCTAAACAACATTTAGTACCTTTTGGTGGGACGTCAACAAGCAACAAGCCATTACTCCACAAAAGAACCCCCCTACTACAAAAGAGGGAGATACCTCATCATGACTTCCTCCACCTCCTCTTTGCTCACCACTTTCTCCTTTAGTATTGATTGATCAAACTTTCTACCTATCCTCCTCCTCGATCCCACCCCTTCCCAGCTGCTACCTTTTTACTACCCTCACTTTAGCAAAGTTTCTGATACAGTCTTCCACAAGATTCTTGCAAGCAAACTACAGTAGTACAGGTTGGATGAATAGTTTTGTAAGGTGGATAGAAAACTGGCTGGATCATCAACTCTCACCTGGAAGGTAGTAAAGCACTGGAACAGGTTACCCAGAGAAGCTGTGGAATCTCTATTCTTGTAAGTTTAAGACCCAGCTAGATGAAGCTGGTGGGATGATCTAGTTGGGGATGGTCCTGCTTTGAGCAGGGGGATGGGCTAGCTGGCCTTCTGAGTTCTCTTCCAACTCTAAAATTTCTATGATTCTCACTTCTCTCCCCCTCACTCAAGCCCTTTCAGCTCCCTGTCCCTTCCCTTGCAAATGAAAGCCTGTTGTTTGGCCCTACCATCAATTTCCCAGAAATTATCAAAACCAAAACTGTTTCTTCTTCTTACACCTTTTCCTTTACAGTTGTTTTGACTCCAACCCAGACTGGCAAAACCAGAGTCAAGATCATAGTCACAGAACTGGGTTCAGATCTCTAACCTAAGTGAGATGAATCCTATAAAAACTGAGAGAATACCAAAGGAAAAGAGCTGGGATATGACATTCAAGCTCTAAAGACCACATAAACAGAAAATATTGGCAAACTGCAAGGAGTTCAACAAGAGTAGCATGAACGTTCAGAGGCTGAAGGAATTGATTAGGCAATACTCAAAGTCATTTTTATCTAAGCAGTCACTGAAAGAGCAACTGACACCAACCCAGAAACAAATGAAGACAATGTATATAAATACAGTTAAAAGAAGTATAATTGGAAGTAATGGCAGGCATGCACCTAAGGAAAACAAGCTGAGTATCAGGAAAGGCTTCCTAAATATCTTGTGTGAATTTGGGACACACACTCTCAAGGGAAAGAGAAAGGAAGCTCTATCAACATGGGTGGCTGAAAATTAGACCAGAAACAGTACAATAAATGTAGAGTTGAGGTTGTACTAAGTTCGTGTTGTACTAAGTGCTGGCTAACTGCTGTGGTAAAAATTTGGGTGAGAAAAAGGGCAATTTTTATCTAGAACAAGCACAGTGAAAAATTAATGGTACTGATCATTAGGCAAGTCAGCAACCTCAAATAAATACACAAATCAGAATAGTAAAAAGGAAGGCCAAGGATTTCCTGGAGTTGATATTTCTTGTTTCCTTCTCCAAGGAATTCAAACCCGTTCCTCACCAATAGTTTTCTAAGGCTCATACCTCGTTTAGACATATCCACTTAACTGTTATACTCAAAACTTCACTTTTGCATGCATCTGAATTAAATACCAAAATCTTTGAAGCAGAGATTCCAAATCTCAGGCATTTATAAAAGCTCCATGCATACTTGGAATTGTTTATACAATAAAATTTGCCAAGTCTCGTATACTAAAGGCAGCTGATGGGTAACGGAAGCAGGAAGGGTAGTTTTGCAGAAAAACTCTAAATACTCCTCGGCAAGCTACTTTACTTACCCAACCCCAAAATTGTACATGATACTCTATCAATGCATGTGGCTGCTACAAGCTATTCCATTTTAATACACCTTCCTTAAAAAAAGATTAGAGGTTAACTTTATAATCTCTCTCCATAATTTTCCCTGAACTCCAATGTTGAAATGACCATGAAATCATCACAATAATGTAAAGCACTATTTCATTACTTGACCATACTGTGAGACTTTCATGAGCTTCCCTTTGGTATGGCTACTTTAAAAAAAAAAAAAAAAAAAAAAGTCATAAATAGTATGCATGCACATTCCTCGCAATTAGCTACAATCCGTAAAAAAAAAGAGGAAGTCACACAGGCCCCAATCCTGTAATTAAGACTGAAAGGGCTTTCACATCTTTACAGGGATGTCTTGACTTCACAGTCTATCTACACTGGGTGGATTGCTAGATTGGGGCCTTCCTAGCCAAGCCATTAACAGAAGAAAGCATACATTTTATTTATACTGAATGAATGTTGCTAAGAAATGAGAAGCAGGGTACAATGAAGAAACAGGCAAAAAGAAAAAAAATCAGCACAAAAAAGTGACAAAGCAAGTAAGTAAATTATGTTTAGAGCTTCTGGCTTTGTTTTTCAGAAAAAAACTGTCACACAAGAAAGAAGGGCACTTTTCATCCTACAAATAAAAGGAAAGTACCCTCACCACATCAAGATTTTTCTTCTTCTCAACTTGTTAGGAAAAGCAAGAAGTTAAAAAGTGGTTTGGATTTTTATTCAGCAGTGTAAATATTTGAACTAAGCCACACGCTTTAGCTGAAATACTTGTTAAACAAGTCACCTATGTAAATAAAAGCTGGTTTATAAGCAGAACTTGTCAAAGAATGCCTAGATATAGATTGAACTTCAAAAAAAATAGCACTCAAAAGACCATTTAAAATTAGAAACTTGTTCATAAAAGCAAACTGAGTAACACTTAGTACACTTGTTACTAATAGAATTGCACATAAGTTACCTTGGGGTGCTAACAGACGTGTGTATGAAATGAAAGGCACATAAATAATAAAAGCAGTTAGCACAGATAAATTGTAAAGAAAAAATATCACAGAAATGATCAGTATTCATATGATCGCCAATCTAAAACAAATCATGTTCCAGTACTTAAAGTAGCTTTTCTTGTTCTAGTTTACCTGTACTCAAAAGTACTCAACATTAAGAAGTATCCATTAAAAAGTCACCATCCTTGCAACAAATTTTAAAGGAAGTCGTTAGTGCTGAAATTCACATCAGTCTTACACCACCTAGTCTGGTTTCATACCTGGGTGTTTAATTCAATTTTATCCAGTCCCAGACAAAACATCCAAATTGAAAAGTTTCAGTAAGTCAAAGCTGACTTATGAACTGAGGCAGGAATTCTTTGTACTTGCATAGCAAACCTCTTAAGTAGGACCTTGTTCCTGACTGGGAGTGCTTAACCCAAAGCACAATTAATATGCTACAGAATTTTAAGGATGAGCAGCTAATAAAAAAATTAAGGATTTTATAGCAGTCCCACAAAATCTCATAGAAATTGATATGCTCAGGAATATGTGGGCAAGGCTGAATACTTGTTGAATGATTAAATGAACACAATCTGTACCAACATACTGTATCCAAGTGGGAAAGGCATTCAGCATAACATTCAGAGATCTCTCTCTTCTGATTAATTGGTAAAGGCTAGAGCAAGAAAAGTAAAGGAAACTGCCACAGAGCTACTATTTGTGACAGAACTGGAAGGCATTACCTAACGTTATACATTAAATATTAATGAAGTCCTTGAAGCTGTATTTTCAGACAAAAGCTGCCCAGTGTTCTTTGCAAGAACTGCAAGGCAAAATACAAGACAGTCTGTGTGCTTTACTCCTCTTCTGTATGTACAATTTAAATACAAAAGTCCTGGGGCTTGTACACATTTCACTCATCGTGGGTGCTTCATATATTAATCATTTTTCCTACACACTGAAAGAAGGAAGTCTCCTCAATCTGAAACACGCTCTTAGGGAAAAGGTATCAGAAGAGGGGAAAAAAATCAAGTTAAAATGCGGACTTTAAGAGTTCTATTTAGGCATTCATTTTTAAGGTTTGGTCCTAAGACTTATCCAACATGACACAAGAAGACTGGTAGAAGAACTGAACCCATCTGTCTCAATCCAGTGTCTTAAAACCAACTTTTCCTTATCCTCGCATCACTTTCCTGTAGCCCTTAACATCTTGCAGGGGGGCAGGGGTGTCCAAATATAGCTTTTAGTCTACACCACTGAGAACAGTCGTCAGCATCTTATGAGAATCCAGACAATGATATTATGCAAGGCTGCAATCTGAGCTGTAGCAGTTCCCCGCCTTCTGAAAGGGGGGGGGGGGGGGGGGGGGAGAACAAAA